AAATAATGTTTATGGTATTCATTTTTTTATTTAATTAATTATATGTTGAATAGAAAGTAAAATATACAAGCGTTATTCAAATTATACTTCGTTCAGTACAACTATTATTATGTATGACTTGTTATAATTTTTTAAAATGTTTCATAAAGTTTGATCTACTTTTGAAGAGCAAATATTTTATAAAGATTTAATATTTTTGATTTTTAAATATTAACGTTTTTGGCAGAATACATTATATTTATTGCAATTTAAAATTTATAAATTAAGTTTTCAAAATCAGAAGTTTGATGTGCACAGAATATTATTTAAAATTAAATTTTAATTTTAGTAGTTATTTTTTTAAATACCACAATTTTTAAAGAAATAAAGTAAATATAAATAAATATATGCTTTAAGTATTAGTATTGTGTACAATATTTTCTATTTTCCATTTTTTTTAGGAAATGCACCACTTACATCGAATAATACGTCGACAAATTCAAATTTAATTCATGTTGAAGATTATTTCTACGATAATAAAGAAAATGTATCAGATAATGTCGGTTATACAGTTGATCCGGATTATGCGGTTCATACGGTTCAATTCAGTTCTGCTGTAACTTTTGATTTGTGTTCACAAAGTACGTAATTAAGAATTATTTATTGAAAGATTAATTATTATTTTTTATGTTTTGAATTTGCTTATTGTATTTTAGAAATATAATTTCGTAATTGTTTTTTGTAGGTAGTGAATTTTCTGAAGATGAACCATGTAGCATAGATATACCTAAGCCGTGGAGTGTACTTAAATCTCAGACAGGAAAAGAAGAAAGTTTGTTATTTGTATGCTTTGTTAACAAAGAAAATGTTAAAACACATACATTTGAGAAGGTTGTTGTGATGAGTAAAAATAGAGAATTGCAATACGAAGTACATTCAAATACTGTGAATGCCGAAATGTTTGAATTACCGAAAAAAGTAGATAATGTTAAAAATTTGCCACAAATTCTACAAGGGTTCAAAAAATTTTGTGCTTGTGAAGGAATAAATATAAACGATGTTGATTGTACATCAAACTTGTTAAATTGTAATAATTACAATCTTTCGGGATGTCGGTCAAAAAATTGTTCTTTATTATCGCTAAACTACAGTAAATGTCGTGATTGTAAAAAATTGTCAAAACTTTTGTCGCAGCAAAAACGAAGATTAAAAAAACTAAGCAATAATGAGGAGATTAAAAAATTAAAACCTTCGAGTCAAATAAAACTAAAAGCACTTCAGAGGAAAAATCAAAGGAGAAGAAAAGAATTAATTCGTTTAAAATACAGATTACATGTTTTAGAGAAATCTCTCGAGAAAAATCAATGTAATATTGCTAACATTAATGAAAATGATTTTGATAAAAATTCCTCATCTTTAAATATGTCTCAAAATCAGAAGATGATAGTGAAAGAAATTATTCGTGCTGCTAAATACACAAATCCAAAGGGTCGACGTTATTCAGACGATTTTATAATGCTGTGTTTACTTATGAATATAAGATCTCCTTCATTTTATGAATTTTTAAGAAAAAATGATATTCTTCCATTACCGTGTTCCAAAACTGTACGAGATTATTTATCAATGATTAGAACTAAATGTGGCTTTGACGACGGCTTCTTTAAACTTCTCGAGAAATCATTTAAAGGAAAGGATCCAATGAAGCGCCATGGTATATTAATTCTAGATGAAATACATTTAAGGAAATCGATTTCTGTTTCGTCGAAAGATTTAACATACTCTGGATTAACTGATTTTGGTGAAAATAATAAAAAGGGTGAAAATCTTGACGCCGTAGCAACTCATGGTCTCGTTCTCATGTTCCAATCTCTAACTGAAAAATATTCTCAGCCCATTGCTGTTTTTGCCTCAAAAAACTCTGTTCATGGAAATGAATTGGCGAAACTCGTCGTGCAATCAATCTACTATTTAGAAAATTGTGGGGCGAAAATTCATGGGATTCTCGGAGATGGTGCTTCAACTAATGATAAAATGTGGAAACTATTGAATATTAAATCTTCACGAGAAGATACAAAATGTTGGTTTACACATCCTTGTGATGAAAATAGAAAAGTATTTATGTTTTCGGATGCACCGCATTTAATTAAATGTATTAGAAATAGACTGTACAGTAATAATCTTCGTGTGAGTTTTTTTTTTTACAATTTTAGTGTATTTTTTTTAAATTTTGTTGTTTATTATAACGCATATTTAAATTCAATTTTTTACCTTCTTTTTTAGATTCATCCTGATGAAAATGAAATAAAGTGGGATTATTTTCTACATCTATTTCATGTCGATAGTAATCACGAGGCCAGAGTTCGTGCGTGCCCTAAATTAACTAAAAGACATATTAAATTAGATCCTCAAGGACTAATGCGTGTTCGATATGCAACTCAAGTACATATTTATGAAAATATTCTATTACCAATAATAATAATAATTCCCTAGTTTATTTGAAATATTCAAGTTATTTACTTCTTTTCAGATTTTTAGCGATTCAGTAGCAAAAGGTTTGATATTTTATCAAATGCACCAATATCCTCAGTTTGAAGGTTGTGAAGATACAGCTAATTTTTGCATGAAAATGAATGAAATGTTTGATGCACTCAATCGGCATCAACCAAATCAAGGTCTTACACCTAATTCTAAAGATTTTAAGGTATTGTACTTCATTTTCTATTTTCATGAAAAAATTACTTTTTCATTCGTTTTCTATTATTTTTGTTTATTAAGAATTATTTTCAAAGTCATTTCCATAATATTTTATAAAGGTGTTGCAAAATATTCTTCTGTGGCTAAACAATTGGGAGATAAATCTTGAAAATGGTCTAATAGATGAAAGTAATTACCTAACGTTAGAAACAGCAGGAAGATTACGAGTAACAATTATGTCAACACTGACTATGTGTCACTATTTAATTGACAAATTTAATTTTTTTATCTTCTAACCGGAAAAGTTAATCAAGACAATCTAGAGGTACTTTTAGTTATTTTTTCTGATTCAAATATACTATATATTCATTGCTTTGTGGATAAATGTCTTTTCTTTAGAAATTCTTTGGCACAATTCGATTGGCAGCTGGATCCAATGAGCATCCCACATGTCCAACGTTTTTGCAGTTATACAAGTTGTTGGCTGCATACAGTATATTAAAGCCGCCTAGATATGGAAATTGTTTAGTGACTGAGCAGAAAGTTCAAAATCTTATCACAATTTCAGAAATTAAAGAAATTTTTGAAAAGTCTCATTCCAAATCGACATCACTGTTAAACAGTATTAAAAACAAACTGGACAGTCTAATTGAGGAAGACACCTGGGAAGTTGACGAAGTCATTGAACATGACTATTCAATTAGACCAGTTATAGACTGCATTATTTATTACACCACAGGTTTTAAAGATTCTTTATTAACTAACATTTATTAATGTTTTTGTGTTTTGTGTATATTTGTTTTGCATTTTTCTAACGCTTTTTCTAATATTTTCTAACATATTTCGTACAATCACTTTATGATAATAACTATTACAATATTATTAATTATTTATTAAGATATATCTGTAGTTATGATTATTTATACATATATTTATTTCAGCCTATTGGTCCAAAAAAGGAATTGGTTTACATTTTACAGCAACTTAACTGAGGCACAGATGTTATTTCATCAATATTCTACCGATGTAAACAGTTTTTTTTAATTCAATTTTTTATTGATTATATACAATAAAAATGTGCTTGTCCATATTTCCTTTAAGCAAAAATAAAAAAAAAATATTTGAATTTAAATATATTGCATGAAATTAAAAAGTAGTTCTTGTATTTTTTAATTAGAAGTAGTTTGTGATCGTCCACAGAAAAGCCAATTAAAACTTAATTTTTTAAAATAAAATTTATCATTTTAATTTTAACATTTATATTTCATTTTTAGGATATCTTTGTCGACAAATTTTGAAGAAAAAAGACTACAGTCAATGTGACTCTTGTATTAAAGCTCTCACATTTTGCGATAAAAAGTCTGCAGTCAGCAACCTGGTAGAGTTAAAAGATCAGGGTAGATTAATTCATCCCAATTACCATTTTTTTAATCTCATTTGTTTCACAGAGACAGTTTTTCGCAAATACGCTAACCAGCAACACGTCTTTGATAAGGTTATTGATGAAGTTACAGACAATTATAAATTCACTTTTCCCTGTAAACAACATGCTTCCAGCATTTTAACTTATGCCTTATTTTATTATATACGTTTAAGAATGTGCCAATTTGCGTTTCAGTTCAATCAAACTCTGAAAAAAACATCTTCTATCAAAAGAAAACTTTCCAAATTAGAAAGCAGTTAAAATTCTATACAAATAAGAGTCTAATTTTTTAAGAAAATGTAAATTATGTTTATGTCTCGTTAAAAGCTGTAAAAAATATTTTGCAAATTATAAAACTTTCGTTTTTCAAATCAAAGGTAGTTTTCTTTTCCTTAAAACAAGGCTTCAGCTGCGCTTATCAGTGTTTAATAATACGTTATATTATATACAATCGGTCAATATTTTATGTTTTACAAAAGCCAAAGAAATATTGTCACTTTTATACAAACCGAAGTAATCTTCGTAATTATGTCAATTTAAAAAACAAAACAAAAACACAATCAATATTTTATGGATTATTTCAATACAGGAAGAGTATTAATTTTTTGAAAAAGAAATCATTTTTACAATAATAAGTCAACTATAAAAACAAAAATATTTGTACAATTCTAGCATTTATGCACTTATAAAATCGCTTATTTATTTCTCCACTATCAAAACACTTTTTTTAATAATTTTGTAAATATACAAGTCGAAATTATGAATCAACTCAAAAAATTTTTTAGTGTATATACCAAAAATTGAGGTTATGTTCGTTTGTTTACACTCCAACCATAGACTCTTCGACAAATACGCCCTCGGGCTTCACGCGGCGACCCTGCGAACCATTATGAGATTCCGGACCTGTATATACGACCGTGTGTATATATCATGGAGTAATTTGTACATGTAAAAAGTGGTTATTGCCACTTATTTTTTTAGTTTTCTCCATATATATATATTTTTTTAAAAAATCATTTTCCTCTTTATAACAAAGATTGAGGGCTTCTTCTTTTATAAGCAAAAATTTTCTATTTAAAATTACAAAACGGGAAAAAAATGTATTTTTTCCATATGCTTTGTGTACTTATTTTTGTGACATCAGTCCTAACCTTAGTCACAAATAAGGAAACACAAAAAATATATCGTGATTTAGAAATTGCAAATAATTCAACTATGACGATATTAAATAAATTAATTAAGGATTCTGAAAATAAAGGTTCAATTAAAAAAAATTTGTCAACTGAAGAAATTGGTAAAAATTCATCCGTAAGTAGGATTTCAATTTTGTTTTTGATTAAAACTGTCACTAATATAAACAAATCAACGTGTTTTTGAAAATGTTTTTTTTTCACGATAATTTTTGATTTTTTTTCACATTTCATATTTTATTTATAAGTGTTTTTGTAAAAATATTAAAATTTTTCGTTTTTTTTTATTTAATCGTAACTGGGAAATTTATTTATAAAAACAAGACTAGCGAAAATTTTTATTTAATGAAAATTTTTTAGTATTTTTAAATAAATTAAGTATTTTAATTTTGAGATGTTTTGTTTTTTAAATTTTATTATTATTATTAAAATTTCAAAACAAACATTTTAAGAAACAAAATTTTATTCATAAAAATTTTAATATATATTTTAAAATAATTAGTTACTTCAATTTGTTTCTTTTGTTAATTTTATTAATTAAAATTTTTAAACTAAGAAAATTGAAAAGAAATTATTACAATTTATTAAAAAAATAAATTGATAAATTTTGATATATAAATAAATATATTTTTTTATATATTTTTTTATATAAATAATTTTTGTTAAATAAATATATATTAAAATAATTTTTAATTTTTTTTCGTTTTTTAATTTAATTATTTTATTGGAAAAATTTTGTTTTATTTTTCTATTTTATATAATAAAGATGTGAAAATTTTTAATTTTGTATTTATTTTAAAAAAAAAAATACGATTACAAAAAAAAATGCAAAGAATTGAAACTTTTGTTTGTTTTTTTCATTCATTTGGTCAGCTTGAAATCAAAGAAGTTGCGTAATTAACATTTTAAAAACAATATTTGAAATATTATCGCTGAATGAAGTGGAATTTTCATTGTTGATAATATAACTATGTTTGTCTTTAATTAAAAAACATTTTTTCCCATTAATTCTATTTTTAGTCAAACAATTCACTTGGAAAATAATTTAAAAAATTTATTTTCTCAATTCTTGTTTATTTAGTAATTAAATTAAAATTTAATATTAATTTATTAATTTAGAATATTCCGTTATTTAAAATTTTTTATTACATAAAAATTTTGCAATTGTAAATTATTATTATTATTATGAAATAATAATTATTAAATAATAATAATAATTCATTATTTTTAACGATATAAAAATTTAAAATTCAATTATTTTGCAAATTTATTTATTTTTAATTTCTTTTTAAATACAAAATTCAAATTTCAAAAAATATTTTTTAATTTAATTCAAATTGTTAGTTGATTTTTTGAATTTTTATATATTTAAATTTCTATTAGATAATAAATAATAAAAACAATTTAATTTTTTTAAATTTAAATTCTATTAACGAAGGGAATAAATAAAAAAAAAATTTATTTTTGTTTTCAACACTATTTTTTTTTAGTGTCATTTGTAAATGAAAAAATAATTACTTCCATTGCAGATAAGCAATGCAAATGAATTTATTCTGGAAGGAGGAGGAAAAATTGATTTTTCTTCATCGGCAAAATTTGTAACTCCAATTATTACTGAAAGAAATTCATCTCAATTGACGACAACAATGAAAACAATTCAAGAGACGAATAACAATAATAATGATAAAAATAATTTAAATGATAGTGAAAAAGAAATAAGCGAATTGAAAAAAAGTAATATTAAACCAAGAAAAGGTGTTGCTAATGATAATTTTACCTCTGTGGAGAAGAAAAATTTAAATAAAAAAATTTCAAATTTTTCGAAAAAATCAGAAATATCGACAACAATAAAAATGCCAATAAATAATACGAGTCAACAAAATTTATCAACGTCGACGACGACGACGACGACAACAACAACAACAACAACAATGAAAATTTCATTGAAAAATTCAACTGAAAAAGTGACGGCAAAGAAACATAAATTAAAACCAACAGTGACAATTGGTGGTGTTAATGTTGATAAACCAATACCAGCATCGCCAACAAAATCGCCACCACTTGGAATGCCGAGAAAAATTGATTATGTCGTGCCAATAATGATTACAATATTCACTGTTCCATTGTTGAGTGTCGCCACTTATATTTTATATAGACGAGGCAAAGACTGTTGGGATAAGAGACATTATCGACGAATGGATTTTCTCATTGATGGAATGTATAATGAGTGATAATTATTTTTTTTTAACGTGAATTTAAAGGAAGAAAAGAAGGAATTTTCAAAGGTTGTAGAATTTTTTTTTTCGGTAAATTTTTCTAATTAGTAAAATTTACCAAAACAAAAAATTTTTAAAAAAAATATAAAATTTTCTAAAAATTGTAATAATTTCTAAAAAATATAATAATATATTAACTTTTTTTTAATATTTGTACAATTTATCAAAAAAAAAAAAACAATTCGGACTATTTAAAAACTCCGTTTTGGAATTTTTCCTTTGGAAAATTATTTAAAAAATTAAAATTTTCCAAAATTGTAATTTCTAAAAAATGTAATAATATATTAACTTTTTTTTTAATATTTGTACAATTTATCAAAAAAAAAAAAATTCGAACTATTTAAAAACTCCGTTTTGGAATTTTTCCTTTGGAAAATTATAAAAAAAAATAAAATATTCCAAAATTGTAATTTCTAAAAAATATTCTTTTTTTTAATAAAAAAAAATAAATTTTTACTAAATATTTTTAAAAAAAATATAAATATTGCATTTGTTAGAAATTACAATTTTGAAAAATTTTAGTTACTTTTGATAATTTTTGAGAGGAAAAATTCTAAAAAGAAGTTTAGAAATTACAATTTTGAAAAATTTTAGTTACTTTTGATAATTTTTGAGAGGAAAAATTCTAAAAAGAAGTTTAGAAATTACAATTTTGGGAAATTTTATTTTTTTTATAATTTTCCAAAGGGAAAGTTCCAAAAAGGATTTTTTGAAAGTTACGAAAAATTTTTTTTGACTAAATTTTACAAATATTCAAAAAAAAAAAAATATGTGAATATTGAATTTTTTTGGAAATTACAAATTTTGGAAAATTTTAGTTTCTTTTTTGCTAATTTTGCAAAGAAAAAAAATTCTAAACAGGAATTTTCAAAAATGTTACGGAAATTTTTTTTGTAATTTACATTTATTTAAAAAAAAAAAATGAATATTGAATTTTTGTAGAAAATTTAAAAATTACAATTTTGGATAAACTTCAGTGTTTTTAAAAAATAATTTTCCAAAGGCAATTTTTGGGAAAATTTAAATTTCGATTTATTTATTCGGTCATAAATTTTCCAAAATACGATTCAAAGTCCACTTTTTAATTTTCTTTTTTTTTTTGAAGATTATTACAAAAAAGAAAATAAAAATTTTCGTATTTTGATTATTTTTTGATAATTTGATAATTCGTATTTTGAAAAATTGTCTAATTTGTTTGAATTTTTGAAAAAGTTTTCCAAAATTTTATATAATGTTACAAATGGTTGGGGTGAGAAATTTTTTTGACGAATTCTATATGGCGAATGAATTTTCATTCGATCACGTTAAAGTTAAAAAGATTTTTTATAAATTTCGAGATGAAAATTGAGAGAGAGACACTAATTTTGGAGAAAGTTAAAGTTCGATAAATTTTTTTTTATAAACATTATAATTATTTGAGAAAAATTACTTTTTTCTAAATATTTTTAAATATTTTTAGATTTTTATAAATTTCTTTTTTTTTCTGTAAATTTTCCATTTTAGTCAGAAATTTTTATTTGCTTTTTTTTGCTTCCAAAAATTAAAAAATAATAAAGAATTTAAAAAACTTGTTTGAAAAATAATAAATTTATTACTTTAAAAAAATGAATTTAAAAATAATAATTTAAAAAAATTAATTCAGAAATAATAAATTTGATACTAAAAAAATGAATTAAAAAATAAAAAATTATTTGATTAATAGGTACTTTTTAAAAACGTTTAAAAATTTGGTTCTAGTTTTTCGAATTTTCAAATTGACTCAAAAAATATTGGAAGCAAATTAAAAACTTGTTGAAATCATATAGAATTTATATTTAAAAAAAAAAGAAACTGAAAAATAAAAATTTTTTTTCTTTTTGAAATGAAATTTTTATAGAAATAAAAAAAAATATGACAATAACTTTAGAAAGTTTTTCCAATTCTATTTTTTTAGCATTAATTAATTAATTCTAAATCCAGTAAATTAAGGATAATTTTCAAACTAAGTACAGAAAATTTTTTATAAAAGGAAGAAATTTTTTTCTTCAAATTGTTTGCATTTTTTTTTTTTTTTTTTTTTTTTTTTTTTGTAATCCTTGAGAAAGGTATTTCTTTTTTTTTGTTTTTAGAAATAATTTAAAATCATTTGCATTTAAAATAAATATGTACATATAGATAATATTTCTCAAAAAAAGGAAAAATGGAAAAAATATTGTAAATAAAATTGAATTATTGTTTAGAAAATAGATTCTAGTTTTAGAATATATTGCAGTTTTTTTTTTTTTTTTTTTTTTTGTTTTTTTTTACATAATAAGTACTCAATAGGTCCAAATGGCGGTTTAAATATAAATATTCTTTTTCCCCGTATAAGAAAATCGAGAATTAGTAAAAAGAAACGATTAAAATTACTAAAAAAAAAAAAAAAAATTATTAAAATTCATAAAGAAAAAAATTGTTGATAAATTAAAAAATTTGCAATTTTACGATTCATTAATTCTCGTTTTAGAGAATTCATAATTTTTTTTACCTTTTTACTAATTTTTTTATTAATCTTTTTATCAAATAATTATTACAAATTAATATTTTGAAAAATATTACAAAAAAAAATAATTTAATAAAAATTAAAATACACAAATCAATAAAATAAAAATTAAAACAAATTTAAAAATAAATATCGCAAAATTATCAAACGCAAGTGTTTTTTAATTTTTATAAATTATTTCCCCTCCCCAAAAAAAAATATTTTTCAAATAAATTTTTTGTTTTTATATTTTTCTTCGATTTTAAAAGAAAAAAAATTTCTTTCTCTTTATCGCAAATTTTTGTTTTTTTTTTGCGCTACTCTATATTGATAATTATTTTATAATCATTTTAAAGATATTATTTGAAATGCATATATAAACATGACCAAAGAATATTCTAACGTAATTTTGGACCTATAATTTTATTTTTACGCGTATTAAAATAAATTTTTTTGTTTGTGTTAAAAAAAAATATTTTGATATAAAATTATCATTTTTGTAATTCGCATTTTTAAGTTAAGGAATGTTTTGAGATGTAATTTTGTTTTCTCTTTTTATACAAAACATAATCAATATATCTACATACATATATATATATATATATTTTGACAAAACAATTATTTTTGTAAAAATATGTAAGAAAAAAAAACTACTTAAAATTTAGATACAATAAAAATCTAATACAATAAAAAGTGATTTTTTTACTAAATCCACTATTTTCAGAATTTTATGGATTTTTGATTATTTTAGTTACAAGAATAGAATTTTAAAAAAAATTTCCAATTGAAAAATTCATTTTTAGAATTTTATCGATTTTTGATTGTTTCAATTACAGGAAAAGAATTTTAAACAAATTTTAATTAAAAAAAAAAAAAAATTCTAAAATGAAAAAATAGATTTTTTATCAAATTCACTTTTTTTTTTAATTTAGAATTTTTTTTTATTTACAATTTAAAAGAAAAATTTAATTTGAGTTTGGATATAAAGAAATAAATGAAATTGACTATTTTTTTTTACGATTTTATTAATAAGCTTATCGCATAATATACATAAACGTAGTTTCGCCCGTCGATTAAAGTTATAAATCACGAACGTCGTGAAATATTAGAATCCTCTTTTAAAAGAAGGATAAATTTTCATTTCCTTTTTTTTTTTTTTTTTTGGAGAAGAAAAAAAATTCTTCAATTATTAACTTTGAATTAAAATAGAAATTCCATTTTTTTTGTTTCGTTATTTGCAATATCTTTTCAGTATATATGTGTAAGAATAATTTTTCTCTTTTTCTTTCTTCTATTATCGAAAAATGTAGAAAATAATCCCGAAAATGATTTAGGTATTTATTTATTTTTTTTTGAAATTGTTTTCTCGATTTTTTTTCTAATTTTTGTTTTTTTTTTCTCTTCACTAAGTGAAAGATTACGTTTTGTTTTTTTTTCTTTCTTTTACACAGACTAAAATCTACACGTATAGAGGCAATATTGTTTTATTTTTATTTTTTTTTTCTCTTTCTTTGCTGTGTGTAACAAAGGTTTTTTTTTTAATACAAAAATAGTTGTGAGAACGTTTATTTTTTTTTCTTTTTAATCCATCTCTCTCTTTTGTCTGTCATTCTCTTTTTTTTTTGTTCTTCTATTCTCTCGAGACAGGCAGAAGGAGGTTATAATTAACAAAATAAATTTTCGAAAAAACAGTCGTTGATTGGTTAATATACAATATATATATATATATATTAGAATTGAAAAAAAATCGTTTTTCGAATTAATAAAACTGTGCGCGCTCGTTTTTTCGAATTTCTCAAGTCTGAGACAGAATTTTCTCTTTTAATTCACTTTTCGGAATTTTTTATACAAAAAAAAAGAAATTTAGAAATTAGAAATAATTTTCTTACACTGAAAAAAGTTTTATAAAAAAAGAAAGAAAAACTATTTTACATAATTGGAGAAATAATTTTGGTATCTTCCAAAAAAAAAAAAATTATTTGCTATTTCAAAAACAAACTGTAATTACAAATTTATTTGCGTAGAAAAAAATATAAAATTATAAAAATAAACTATTTTTTTCTGAATTATTTTTTTTAAATTAAAATTTTCTATTTAATACTTTTTATTAATTAATATTTTAACAAATATTTTCTATTAATTAATATTTGTTTCAAAATTTTTTCTATTAATTAAATTTTAAAAATATTTTTTAACAAAATAAATAAATATTTTATGTTTTTGTGAAAAAAAAACAACATTTTTATTAATTAAAAATTATTTTTAAAACCCTTTTTCCTTAAAAATTAAAAATAATCATAAAATGTTTTAAACATTTTTTCTATAATTAAAAAAATTTTTTTTTTTATATATTCTGCATCAAACTTGAAAAGTCGTGAAAAATATACTTTTTTCTCCCATCTTTTATTTTACAAAAGATGATTTGTGCAATTATAAAAAAATAAAATAATAAACAAAAATGCGTAAGCTTATAGATTCATTAAAGAAACGAAAAAACGACGCATTTTGCAAAAATTCATAACGTATCACATGTGCTCCACAGTCGTGCAAAGTACGTATAAAGATCTTGCATAATATACTATATATAATTTTTTTTTTTTTGTTTTCAGTTTTGCACCATTTTTTTTTTTTTAAATTATTTTTTTACTTTGCACCTAAAGTGCGCGATTATTTTTAATTTGTACGTCTAAATATATTCATAATTCTTAAAAATCAATAATTGTAATTATCTAAATTAATATTTCTTTAATTCGCAAAAAGAAAATGTTTTGTAATTTTTCCCCCAAGGTGTTTTTTTTTTTTCTTCATGAATACGATTTGATGAAATATTTTTGTTCATGAGAAAAAAAAAAAGAAATTTTTTATTTAGTTCATATTTTCAAAAAAATATGGTTGAAATTTTTATCGCCCTTTTTTTTAATTCGGGGGAATTTTATGCGAATCAAATTTTTTCTTGTGCAATTTTTCAAAAAATTCAAATTTCAGAAGAGTTTTTCTTTTTCTTTTTTTTATTTTGACTTGTATTTCACTTCATCGGGAAATGCTTCTCGCGGTGGAACAAAACTAAGCATTGTGATGTGTCGCGCACAAGCTCGCGAATTTCTAAATTGCGTGTCTGTTCCGTGAAGACGATCCAAAACTCCCAATACTCCAAAGCATTGATTGAATCTGAAAGAGGAAATTTTTAAAATATATTTTTATTTTTCTATTTATTGTGTTACTAGCAAAATTAAACGCGCGCCAAATTGAGTATTTAATTGTTTGTTATAAAGAAATTAAAGATTAATATTATCAATAATAATTTAATTTATTAGAATATTATTACATATTAAATGATAATAATGAAAATTATATGTTTACAGGCCTCGAATTATACGACTTTTTCCGATTTTTTTTTCAAAAATACGACTTTTATCGACTTATTTTAATAAAATGCGACATTTTTTTTACATTTGAAAAAATATGTAAATAAAATACATTTTTTTTTAGTATAAAATGTAGATCTTCTTCAGATCTTCTTCAATTCAATTATTTAACAAATTTTGAACTAAAATGATTCTTCACTAAATTAATTATTTTTAATAATTTTAATGAAATACATCACAAATTCAATTATATTAAAATTATTTTTCAATTAAAATTTTTATGAAATTTAACAATTGTTTATAATTTAAAAAAAAAATATCACAATAAAATTGAATTATTTTTTAAAAATTACAATTCAAAATAAACTAAAATTCAATTATTACCCGAAATTTTAATTCAAAATCAATTAAAAATCCAATAATTATCAAAAATTTTCAATTTAAAATTTTATTATTTACCAAGTTTTCAATTAAAAATGAAATAAAATTTTAATTATTTTCTAAAATTTCTATTCAAAATTAATTATCCAAATTTCCAATCAAAAATGAATTTAAATTAAATTATTATCCAAAATTTCAATTAAAATTCAATTGTTTACCAAAATTTTTAATTCAAAATCAATTAAAATTCAATTATTTAAAAAAATTTCAATTCAAAATCAACTAAAATTCAATTATTTTCCAAAATTTCAATGGAAAATTAACTAAAATTTAATTATTTTCTAAGATTTCAATTGAAATTCAATTATTTTCCAAATTTTCAATTCAAAATCTATTATTTTCCAAAATTTCAATTGAAAATCAACTAAAATTCAATTATTTTCCAAAATTTGCAATTTAAAATCAACTAAAATTCAATTATTTTTAAAATTTTCAATCCAAAATCAAGTAAAATTAAATTACTTTTCAAAGTTTCAATTTAATATTAATTGAAATTCAATTATTTTCCAAATTTTCAATTCAAAATCAATTAAACTTCAATTATTTTCAAAAATTTTAATTGAAATTCAATTATTTTCTAAAATTTCTATTCAAAATTAATTATCCAAATTTTCAATCAAAAATGAACTTAAATTAAATTATTATCTAAAATTTCAATTAAAATTCAATTATTTCACAAAATTTTCAATTCAAAATGAACTGAAATTCAATTATTTTCCAAATTTAAAATCAAATAAAATTTCGTTATTCTCAAAAATTTGAATTCAAAATTAATTGAATTTAAAAGCATCTAAAATTTAATTATTTCTAAAATTTTCCATCGAAAATTTTATTTTTTGAAATTTAATAATTTCAATTATAACTCTAAGGAAATTCAATTATTTTTAACTATTTCAATAATATTCTTTGAAATTTCAACTATCTGAAACCATTTTTCAATTAAAAATTATTTTCAAATTATTGTATTTTGTCCGCATTTTCTAATAAATTTTTAGTGAAATCATCTAAAATTTTAATTACAAAACACTTAAAGTTTCAATTAATTTCAAAAATCTCAATTTTAAATCTTTGGAAAATTCAATTAAATTTAAAAAATGTTTTCCAAAAATTATTTGATAAATTATTTTTAGTTCTGTAAAATTTAATAATTGTTTGAAAATTAACAATATATCTTTTGAAATTTAATTATTTCTAAAAATTTCAACCTTAACCCTTCGAAAAGGATTATTATTAAAAAAAAAATTTTTATATAAAAATCTGTAAAATATTTTTGTTAAAATAAAAAAAAAATCTACTTTTTTTTGGAATATAAATCGACTAAAACGACTTTTTTTGTGTCTTTAAGTTGATTCGAGGCCTGTGTTTTTATAATTAATATTTAATAAGTATTCGTTGGCCCCTGGTACCTTAAAAATTAATTTTTAAAAATAAATTTTTTTCAAATTACTATCTTGTAGGGAATTTCCTGGCGCATCTTTTTTCTCATCATAAATTTTTTGTATTTGTATACAATTTTTGAATCAATATAAAACTTTTAAAAAAATTTCGTTGGTAAACGTTGTGTACTTCAGCTTCGTGAATTGAATTTTCGAATTTGGAATTTTAAAGAAACTTATTCCGAAATTTGGAAACACAATTATACAACTTTGGCAAAAATGAGAAAAAGAATTGTCAAAATTTGACACGTAATAAGATTACTATTCAAAAAAAAACACGTGAAATCAGAAAAGGCCAACTTCAAGTTAGGACAGAAGGACAGACTAAGCATTTTATTATTATATAATTATTTTTTTTAATGTTAATATATTGACGGGACAAGTCCTTTTGCAATAATAATAATAAAATAAGACAAAAAAATATTCAATATAATAATAATAATAATTTATTAAATTCGTGAACGAAAAAAATTATTAAAATTTAAATATTTGAAAATTTTTCTGAATCTACGAAATTTCTATTTTTTCTCATAATATTTATTTATTTTTAATTAATAATAATAATAATTAATAATAATAATAATTAATAATAAATAAATATTTTTTATATTTAAAAAAAATATTTTGTCGTTTTTTTTTCTTCTAATTTTTGAGAGAAATGAAATTTTTTTTTTTTTTGCAAAAAGAAAAATTCAATTTTTTTCCTTCTTCAATCCACAGAGAAATAAATAATATATGTGATGTGGAGGAGGAAATAAAAAAAAAAAAAAAAGAAAAGGAAAAAAAAGGATAAAAAAACAATCGCTTGAAGCGCACTTACTTCAAGTGATGAAAGTCGTGTGCCTCGGGCGAGGGAAAAAATGGCAAATGATATCCTGAATGAGCGTTGAGCGTTGATAAAATCGCGAGTGAAAACCATAGCCATGCTGTGGCAACATGAGAACCACATATGAGAACACCCAAAAATGGTGGAATTAAATTTGAGCCAATATGCTCAAGTGGATGGCAGTAAATTGCAGTCACAGCAACTGGCGCGGTCCATTGATGATGTTGTTTGTGAATATATTTATAAAGATAACGACTGTGCAATAATCTGCGAAAAAAAAGGAATTATTTTTCTTTGTATTTAAATAATTTTTTTTCCATTTTTTAAACATTTTTCTTTTTTTTCAATTCTAATTCTAAAAAAAAGAAATATTTTAGAAAATTTTAATTTGGATTAAAAAATACTATTTTTTTTAAAAATTCGAACTAGAATAATTTTTAAATAATTTTTTCTTAATTAAAAAATTTGCAACACAATTTTTTTGATAATTTTTTTTCTTTTTAATTTAAAAAAAAAGTTTCAAACTAAAATTACAAAATAATAATAATAATACTAATAATAATAATAATAATATAATAATACAAAATTAATATTTATTGAAATTTAATTTTTCTATTTGAATTTATTATTATTAATTTATTACTTTTTTTTTGAAATTTAAAAGTAGAATTTTTTTATTACAAGGCAAAAAAAAATTTTTTTTTTATATTTAAAAAATTAGGAAAAAAACCGAAATTTACATAATTAATTACCTGTGAGAATAATAAAATCCGATTTCCTCGAAAAGAATGTGAATAGCGAGTTCAGCTAAAACCCAATGAAATGTTGGAAGTTCACGAACTGAAGGATAGCCACGCCATTCCATCAAGTGATAACTGACATACGATAATGGCAAACTCACGATTAGTTGATTAAATAGCACTTGTGCTATTACTTTGCACAATTCCTTTGAATCGACTGGTTCATTTGTGCCCGGTTGAATTTTATATCGACGTAATGCCGCCGGTTTATTCGTTATATCGAGAATTGTATAAATTCCACCAAATACCCAATAAACAATAAATGTTAAACCTATGGATCCTGTTTAGAAAAAAAAAATAAAAACAGAGGAATTATTGAGAGAAAATTAATTAATTTATTTTTAAAAAAGCATTTTTATTTGATTTTAATTGAAATAAAAAAATTATTTTTATTTCAAATTTAAAATTGAAAGTAAAAAAAAAAAAATTCTTGTTTTTGAAAAACTATTTTTAATTACGACTTTTTGAAAAAATAAATATTTTTTATTTTATTTTAAAAAATTTATTTTTCTTAATTTTGTATTTTTAAAATTTTGTATTTAAAAAAAAATACAAAATATTAAAAATACTTATTTAGATGAAATCAATTATTTTTCTAAATTCGTATTTAAATTTTTTTTTCAAATTCTTATTTAGATAAAATCTCAATTATTTTTCTAAATTCATATTTAGAAAAATTTACTTTTTTCAAATACTTATTTACGGTAAAATTAATTATTTTTCTAAAATTGTATTAAAAATTTTTTTTTTTTGTTGCTTCTCTTGTGTAAAAAAATTAATTTTCCAAAAATCTGCTTTGGATTTTTTAATAATTTTCTTACCGTACACCCACAACGTGACGGGATCGTCTCCCACTTTATCTAAAATTTTGTCCCATTGCGCTTGCCAAAAATCACCTGAGGCGCCCCAAAACCTCTGTAGATGCCTGTTAAAAAAAAATATTTCTTTTTATTATTGAAAAAAAAAAAATAATTATTTTTTTTCCAAATTTTTTAATTAAACGAAAAAAAATTTATTTTTTTTCCCCTAAATTTTTAATTAAACGAAAAGAAATTATTATTTTTTCCCCTAAATTAGTAAATTTTAATTAATAATAAATAAACGAAAATTATTTTCAATAATTTTGTATAGAGAAATATTGTATAGAGAAATAAAATTATTAATATTAAATTATGTATTTTTTTTTTTTACCAGGTGAGAGAATTACAAACAGCGGCAATTGCAACGACCACAGTTCCAATGACAAATAAAACACTTCTCAAACTCGAAAGTAACGTGGGTGGCGTTTGATTTTTACTGGCATCATTGGTCGGAGAAGGAGCAGCTGTAAGGTGAGAAAAAAGAAAATATAGAAAAAATTAATTAAAATTTTCAATTTCCGTTGCAAAAAAGAAAAAAAAATGTTCTTCCTTCTCTTTTTTTTTTTTTTTTTTGCCTCAACCAAATCAGAATAATCAATTTTTCAATTCTGTTTTTTAATTTTCCTTATTTAAATATATATTTTTTTTTTTTATATATAAATTTTGGTTGGGGGGTTTTTTTTCTGAAGAAGAAAAACATTTTTCTTTTTTTTTTTTATATATAATTTGTAGAAAATTATTTTTACTTATTTTTATTTTGAAAAGAAAATGAATTTTATTTACAACGAAATAAAATTAAGAAAAATTCCAAATTTTCCGATAAAAAAAACAAAATTGAATTTTTTTTTTGGAAAGAAATTTGAATTTGAAAAAAACAAAAAAAAAAAATAAATTGAATTTACAACGAAATAAAATTAAGAAAAATTCCAAATTTTCGATTAAAAAAACAAAATTGAATTTTGAATAGAACAAAAAAAATGAATTGAATTTACAATGAAATAAAATGAAGAAAAATTCAAAATTTTCGATAAAAGAAAAAAAATTAATTTTTTCTTTTGGAAAGAAATTTAAATTTGAAAAGAACAAAAAAAAAATTGAATTTACAACGAAATAAAATTAAGAAAAATTCAAAATTTTCGATAAAAAAAAAAAAATTGAATTTTTTTTTTTTTGAAAAGTAATTTGAATAGAAAAAAAAAATAAATTGAATTTACAATGAAATAAAATTAAGAAAAATTCCAAATTTTCCAATTAAAAAAACAAAATTGAATTTTTTGTTTTGGAAAGAAATTTGAATTTGAAAAGAACAAAAAAAAATAAATTGAATTCACAACGAAATAAAATTAAGAAAAATTCAAAATTTTCGATAAAAATCAATTTTTTTGTTAAATATTAAAAAAATGGAAATTTAAAAATGGAATTTTCAGGGCAAAAATCGATTTACCGATGAGGCGCGCGAAAGTGTATATGGTAATTAACAATATGAACCGCGAGAGAGGGCAATTAGCAGCAGGAGAAATGTGATAGAGGTTCGTGGCCGATAATGTGATTTTATTTTTAGTCATGTTCGATATTCGCTTATATGAAATGCCACAAATTGATGTGGTTTCCTCTCTCTCACTCTCTCTCTCTCTCTCTACGTCTATATTGGCAAAAGTTTTTGACTAAGTGCTCCGGATCTTTTTCTATAAATATATATATATATGTATATTGTAAATGACACTTTCTCATTCATAGCAAATTCACAAAAAAAAAAATATATATATATTTCAAATTTGCTAAAATCTCACTTAATTGAAGAAAAAAATTTCATTCACTAAAAATTTTGAATTGAAAAAAAAAATTCATTTTGAAAATTAAATTTTTTTCATGAATTTATTTTTAATGAACAGAAATTAATAAATTGAGATAAAATAAAAAAAAATATTAAATTAAATTTGAAATATTAAAAATATTTATTTAGTATTTACACATAAAAAATTAAATAAATTTTAGATATTTAGGTATTTAAAAAATACCTTCATTATATTTTTCAATAAAAAAAACTTTTAATATTTATTTATTTGTTATTATTATTTTATTATTTATTTATTTATTATTTATTTATTATTTTATTATTTATTTATTATTTATTTATTATTTATTTATTATTTATTTATTATTTATTTATTATTTATTTATTATTTATTTATTTATTTGAAATAAATATATTTTTCAATAAAAAAATATTGTAGGTAATATTTGTCAATAGAAAAAAAATATTTTTATTTAAAAATATATTCAAAATATATTTTTTTAAATTTCAAAAAATATTTTCGATTGTTTTTTTTTAAATATTTGAAATATATATTTTTTTTTTTGGAAAATTTTTTATTTCTGTTTGAAATGCACTTAAGGATTTCGTAATATATATATAGTCATCTTAAATATCGTGACTAAATGACGAATTAATTTCTCGGCCTCGAATATATTGAACAATTTTAACATTCAAATTTCATTGATTTTCGGTCAAAGAGAAAAAAAAAAAAAAGAGGAAAAAAAATTCCCCATTTGTAAATTCTATATATAGAAAAGACATGTTATGCGGCTTAAACAGGAAATAACGTTAATTATTTATGAGATGAAAATGGTGCAAATTGATCGAAAATGTAGGCGAAGGTCCTTTACGGGCTTTAGGAAAAAAAGAAAGAAAAAAAAAATATATATATATATTCCAACGAGGGAAACACGATAGTACTTCAAATAACACAATTACCTCCCTTTTTTTTAATGACCTCTTTTAAAAGCGAGCAAAAAGATATTAAACAGTTAATAAACCCCTCTTTAATAGAAACTTAACTGTCACTCGAAAATTACTTTTCTTTTTTTTCTTTATTATTATTGGAGAAAAAAAAATTCATTCTCTTTTTTTTTTTTTTTTTTTTTTTTAATCAATATACATAAATATTACTAGATTAACAAAAGTATTAATAAATTAATTTTTCAATTTTTTAAAAAATTATTGTTAAACATTTTTTTTTTTTGCAACTTTTTATTTTTGATGGAAAAATTAAAAATTACTAAATAATTAATAAAATAATAATTTATAATAATTAATAACAATTAGTAATAATTTATAGATAATAATTAGTAATAATTTGAAATAATTAATAACTATTTGTAACAATTAGCAATAATTAGAAATAATTAATAATAATGAATAAAAATAATAATAATAATTTATAGATAATAATTAGTAATAATTTGAAATAATTAATAACTATTTGTAACAATTAGCAATAATTAGAAATAATTAATAATAACGAATAAAAATAATAATAATAATAATAATAAAAATATTATTAACAATTATTAATAAGTAATTAAATAGCATTAATAATTGTTAATAACTAATTAATTAGTATTAATAATTATGATTAATAATGAATTATTTTTTTTTGTAAAAAAAAAATATATTTTATGATTTATTATATAGTTGATCGCTAAATATAATGCCAATTGGAATATTTAAATTATACTGTTCATGAAATGATGGGGGATAGAAAAAAAAAATCACGAAGGTTCGTGAATTTTGATAAAGAATGTAGAACAAGCGGTCAATGTGACTAACGGTGTTGTTAAAATCAAGGTTTCAATCACCAAGCACAAAAAAAAAAAATTTTATTCCCTCACACAAAAGAGTTGGGAGAATTTTTTTTTTTTAAATTTTTATTCCCAATTTTTTTTTCTCTCGTTAAAAAAAGAAATATTTATTAAATTCTATTTTTTTTTTCACAAACTCTCAAATTTCAAATTTATATAAATTTTTTTTAATTAAAAATATTTTATTTCCCTTTTTTTTTTTTGTATACATAAATGGAAGAAAAAAATTTTATTCAATGAAATTTTTTTTATATTTCACTTTTTTTCTCGAAACGAAATACATAATAGTTTCTTTATTCAGGAAATAAAAATTATTCAAATAAAATAATTACCAAAAAAAAAAAAAAATAATTAATACTTGCCTGTATGTTAATAAATAAATAACGTTCAAAATAAATATAAAACTATTTTCTATATTTATAGAAAAGTAGAATAATGTTTTTTTTTAAATTCATAAAAATATTTGAATTTTTTTGTTAATAAACAAAAATTGGAAAAGAATATTTAAATTTTTTTTAGAAAATAAATAAATTTCTTTAATTTAAAATTCTCTCCTTATAAATAATTGAATTTTATTCCTCTAAATAAATAATAATTATTCTAATAATTCTAATTCTAATAATTCTAATAATTATTTTTAAAAAATGAAGTAAAAAAAAAATTTAAAAAGCTTTTTTTTAAGTGCAATTTATTTGACTGACAAAGTTGAAAAGCAATTGATAATAATTTTTAATAAGGGGTTTGATTTAAAAAAAAAAAAAAAAAAAAATATGTCGTTTGAAATTAAAAGAATTAAATTTTTCTCCTTAAATTCACAAAAATCCCCAATTAAAAATCGTATTCATCACTGAAAGGACGTAACGGATAGTTCAAGTATTATATATATACTTCAGAGAAAAATTACCGCTATAAGCAAATACATTGTGTGTAAAAAAAAAAAAAAAAAAAATTGAATTGGACAAAGTGAAAATCACTGTTCTAAATTTTTTTTTCCCCCCTTTTCATTTTATCTCAACTCTTTACAATATATAGATATAGTAATTTTAATTAATTCAATATTATATTTTCAATTTTTATTTTTTAAATTCAATTTTTTTTTTGTAAAAAAATTTTTTCTCATTAAAAAATAAATCAAAAAAATTAAAGAATAATTTTATTCATTATAGTTTAATTTTTTTTTTAAATGAATAACAAAAAAAATAAATAAATAATAGGTATTTAGTAATGAATTAATAGGTAAATTAATTATTTTTAATTTAATAAACTATTGTTCTAAATATATTAATTAGTAATTATTAGGTATTTATAAATAAATAATTATTTATTCATTATTATTTTTTGTTTTTCATAGAATATGTAAAAAAATCTTTTTCGTACTATTGTTATTATAATTATTATAATTTTTTTATTTTTATTCTTATTATTCTTATTAATTATTAATACCTATTATTATTATTATTATTATTTTTATTTTCTATTATTACTAATTTTTTTTTAATTAATTTTAATAAAATAATACAATTATTAATTTGGATAAAAAATTATTAATATAAAAAAAATTCAATTTGGACGAAAAAAATATTATTTTTAATTTTTTTTTTATTGTTCTACAAAACGAGAGAAAATTTTTTTTTTTTTAAATTTGAAAAGCAATAAATATTATAAAAAATGAAAAAAAAAAATATTTCTTAGTGACAGGCATCAATTCCGATTTCCTGATGGAATTGACGACAACGACGACGCGACGTGTCGTTCGATCAACGACCCTTCGACATGTGTTCCCCATATATATATATATATAAATATATATGTGTATAGGTAT